GCATCGGCAGGCGGACTCTCAACCACTGCGCCACCAGGGAAGCCCTGGAGTTCTTCTTTTAAGTGTCGGAGAGCATCCACATGGTCCTCAACGACCCCTATCTCGTTGATATAGTAGCAGCATTCTTCTTGTAGGAAGAGGCAGGTACCTCCTTTGTCGGCTGTCAGAAGGTCCAGGGCGCGTCGGTTTTGGAAGGCAACTCGGGCTACTGAGGTGATCTGGCTCTGGAGGGAGGTGATGGAGGCGGCAGAGGCCTCAATGGCTAGCTGGAGTTTCTGTTCTAGGTTGCAGGATGTTGAGACACTGTGTGTCAGGGCTCCTCCCCCGATTCCTGCAGCGACGAGGGAGGAGGCGAGGGAAATGCCTGCTACCCTAGGGAGAAAGATGGCCCTTTTCTGTCGGCTGAAGAGTGTGTGGTGAGAGAAATTCGGCTTCGCCATATAATGTGAGCTGTGGAACAAGGCTGACGGGGATACATGGAAAGGGGGAGGAAGAGTTGATCTCTTTTGTAAGGGAGCCATTACACCAAAAGAACAGACCTGGTGGGGCCCCCACTGGCGTAGTTACAGGGAGGGATGAGTTGCAAGGGAGTGCATCATTAGTTAAGTTTGGTCGGCTGCCATAGCAAATTGTGAGGTTCTTTTTTTCTAAATCAAGGAATATGGGGACTCTTAAAGGGGGAAAAGGTAAGTTCTGGGAGGAATTAAGGAGGGTAGAGGTGAAGGGCTGGTCGAGCGGGACAGCAGTTAATGGTGGTTGGCCAAGTGAGGCACATAGAAAGCAGTCAGAGATGTTGCCTATTCCGGTGTGATTAAGCATTTGCACCCCTTGGCGGATAAGGGACAACCAAGAAAAAGGGTCCATCTTATGGTCAGGGTGGGGTAATTGGCGTTCTAGGGCCTGTTCTGCCTCCTGGACCATGGTGGCCTGCTCGCTCAAGTGCTGGATAATTTCAGGGGTCACTCTGATGTATGAGCGGAAGACCCTGATAGAGCCCACGGGGTAGGCATCAGTTGCCCACCGGTAGATTTTTCCTTGTACCCCTTTTACCCATCTTGTGTCCCAGGGATCTTTGATGTTGATGAATAATTGACCCTTGCCATTTGTGGTGAGCAGGTGGGATTGTCGGAGCGAGCTCCTGGTATCTAGTTTTGCCACATGGATGTTACATGAGTGATAGGGGCACCCCCCATAGGTCTCATCCCACCATTGACAGTAGTCTCTGGTCTGATCGTAAGTGAAGCAGACAGCGGGGGTGGACCAACCCAGGGGAACACCTTCTATGTTAGACATGGGGATCTGGACCGTCACCAGGGCCTGGCACCCATCTGGTTGGCAGTCCCCCATGCCCAAGACCCGAGCGTGGGTCCGACCTTTAGCTTGCCATGTCCCATGGACATGGAAGCGTCATAGGGACGTCTGGTGAGTCCTGGGTGGCAGGAGGAGCAGCTGGAGGAGAGACCGGGTGACGGACAAGCCGTAGTCTCGTGGGACCCAGCGGTTGGGCTGTCCAAGTCTCTGGAGTTGGGGCCATTTTAAGGCGGGAGACATGGTACCAGGAGGGGTGTCCCAAGAGTTTGGCTGCCATAGGAGTGGTGAGGATCACCGTATGGGGGCCTGTCCACTGTGGCTTGAGAGATTGGGGGTGTAATTCTTTGAGGAGGATGCTATCGCCAGGTTGTAGAGGGAGAGGGGAAATTTCAGAGGCAGTGACCGTCAGCAGGTTGTGGTCAGCGTGTTCATGGAGAAGGTGGCGGAGCAGTGACAGGTAGGGGAGGTAGGAAGCTAGGGGTGGGTTTTGGGTTGGTAGGTTATGGAGGAGAAAAGGGCGGCCGTAGAGCAGTTCGAATGGACTGAGACCAGTAGGGGTCCGAGGTGAGGCTCAGATTCGGGTGAGGGCAAGAGGGAGCAAATCGGGCCATGAGATACAGACCCCAAGGGACAGCTTGGTGAGGTGGTCCTTCAAGATCCCGTTGGCACGTTCAACCTTACCAGATAACTGGGGGTGGTAAGGGATATGGAGTCTCCAGGTGATCTGAAGAGCCTTGGATACCTGC